TGTCAGAACCTTTAATCGCGCCATTGCATCCTACGCATCGCGAACCCCTGGGGATTCAAACACCACTCTCGTGCATTTTTGATCGAGCACCAAGTTTCCTTCTCATTGGAAATAGGTATTTTAGATTGTATCACCTCAAGTAGAGAAATTAGGTAGGCGGATTGGTCGCGCTTTTTTTAAACCGGCGATTTCGAGAAGCTTTTCGAAAAATTGTTGCTTCTTACCAAGGGAATGGCGGAATATGTCCATGCATAGTCGATAACGCAAATGCACACGTAACCAGCAGGTTTACGATAAGTTCGTAAACCTTTTAAATTTATTTTATTCCAAAGATATACCTTTTTTTAAAAACGTCTTCATTCATTATTTATTACTGTTATTTAATATTTGTACTATTTCACTTATTTCTAGAAAGCAACTCATGTTTTTCATAAAAATCTGATAATGGCCTTCTATTGTAATTTGCATATATAGAAGTTATAAGAAAAATATTAGATTTCGATTTTCTCTGTTTGGTCGCAAAAATCTGAAACTTGCAGTAAAAATCGGAGGTCTGTATTAAAAGTACTATGGCCTGCTTTTTCTAACTGAGCAAAGTCTGTGCTGATTGACCGTCTCTATGAAAGTCAAGATTTTCTGGGCGAGCTGTACAAAACAGCAAATTTGATTTTTTGGCATTTCGGAAATTTTAACTTCTCATAAAGGCTTTCAATCGTTACAAACTTTGCTCACTTAGAAACAGAAGGTGATAAAACCTATATCACCTAAAACCTATATCAGCCTTTTTCGATTTTTCTTGCAAATTTGAAACTTCTTATGACCAAATTCAGAGTAATCAAAATTTGAATAAATTTCTTCTACCGCTTCTATTCGTGCAATGTATGATCAAAAAGGTCGCAAAAACGGTATTATGATAAGCATTACATCTTATAAACAAAAACAAAAGCAAGCAAATCAGTTGGAAAAATCAGAAGTAATGAATTTTTGTGGTGCAAACGTTTCAGGACGACCTTATAAATCTTGTAATTGGGAAAAACCCGAAAAAAACGCGCCACGGAAAGACAATCCAAATTGCTCAGCCAAATGAAAGAGGTTAGCAAATAAAGAAGAAAATCTAGCTAAATTTTCCTCGAGCTCCACAACCGCGTTTGTGTGCATCCTTGGGCCGAATCCGGCTTTCAACGAAGAAAAACCGATGTTAACTGGATTAAAGTACGCGCAACGATGAGATGTAGACACACACACAAGGCTCGAGCCCACTCTGCAATGGGTACACAGGGGGGCCTTGAGTACGGGGTGAAAGTTTTTTTATTCCATCGGAGCGATGTAGAGCGGAGGGGCTGGAGGAGCTGCCCCCAAGGGTATAACGACACTACGGCTATCAATCCACGTAGAGCCGTGTGACGAAGCTTTCAATGCATTTTTTGACAGCGAAGGGGAGAATGGAGGGTGAGGGGGGGGGGTTTGGAAAGAGGGGGTGAAGATGCCTCGAAAAGACACACAGGCCCAATCAAAATGATTATATCCCTAAACTTACGCTGAATCTAATAAAAAGTTAATGCATAATTCAAAAGTCCTACTTCTATATTTCTCAAGATGCTCCTGGATGAAATGCTTTTGCTCTACAAAATGAAAAAATTCAAAAAACCCGTCTAGACCTTAGAGAAATAGAGCTCCACAAAACGTACATAATTATTATAGCAGAGGATAATCCGTGAAAATGTCATTTGCAGACAAGCAATCTATACTCAGACGCCTTGCAAAAATGGATTTTATTCAAAAAAAAAATTGGAGGGGACATTTCCTTAATCCTTTTTTCCTTATTCAAAAAAAAATCAAAAGAAAGAATCTATATGAGGGTATAACTTAGATTGATAGCAATCCGATAGAATTTTTCTTGACGGGGCAAAAATCTCTAGATATCGAAAATATTTTACTACTTCTTATCCATGACGCTTCAAATTCTTGGAAAGAAAAACGATGCAAGGAGATTTGGATTTTTAATACTATAAATCTAGCGAGAAAATTTGGGGTTTGTCATTAACTACATTAGAGAGACAAAAATTTTTCCTCTATTGTTTATTCAAAAAGGGATTTTCGTCCAAATTTTACTGCAGCAAAAATATTTGAAGACTTATGAGTTGCATCAGAAGCAGAGAAGCTAGTCAACCATCATCCAAATTGAATTATGAAAATGTGCACAAACAGCAGTAATGACTCTTTGTCCGTCTGGATGCAGAAAAAGGAAGGGAGGGAAGGAGGAAGGAAAGATGAGAACCAAAATTTACGAGCTTTGCCAGGCAATTTGTACAAGACTGACTAATTGACTTTTGCCAGAACATATGTTCTGAAGATGATTTGGAGGGTGCAGAAGCTCGTAATTTGTCCATCCCTTGTGAAAAAAAAAAGGTGCAGAAAAGTATGTGAGCATATGTTTGAGTCAATCTTGGATCAGGGTATTGATCTTATTATTGCAATTATACAAAAATAATATTCCTTAGGGAACCTTAGCTTGAAAATTTTACAGATTATACCACAAATTATCAAATTGATGTATAGGTGCAAAACTTTATTTTGCTCCAAGTCAATACTGAGTAGATTCCCGGTAAATATTTATCTAAACCCGAAGTTATAAGCAAAATTTCGTCAAATTAGTCTATAGCTAAGTGCTCTGAGCAAAATGAAAGAAAGTCTGTCAATCACTAAGTACACTCATAAACAAAAGGTTATGGGAATTTTTTCTTAGATTAGATTTGTTCTAGAGTCATTTGTATTAATATAAGTCCAAAAAAGCGCGAGTGTAAACGAGCAAGATAGCAAATTCCACGATCGAAGCTGGAGCTGACTTACCCTAACAATTTATTTCGCTTGAATAAGTAATGACGTGAGGTATTGAGTACAAAATGTAGTGGAAAAGGAGCTACATGCTGTGATTATTTGCATTTCATAAGCAAAAGATCAATAAATCAATATGATGAGTTAAGTAAAGAATAATAGACGGGGCCGTGACCTAATTAAGGCCAGGCAGGTATGATCAGAGAGTACGCGCGAGAGAGACGCAGACTGCGTCGCGGGTGCGAGCGGCCTTGATTAGGTCACAAAGCCGCCAAGGCAGTTGAATCAAGGGTTAGATAATAGAACTAAGAAGTCAACATTGTTGACAGTAAACACATCTATTGAAATAGAGGAAGGGACGAAGTCGAATAAAGTAAGAAAATCCATGTATTACGGTACCGTATGGTGTGAATTAGCCGAATACGGTATCTAATGGTGAGATTCGGTATACATGCTACCGTAAGTGCATGCTAAAAAAGCTGCCGCCCCAAATAATGGATGACGTAACACCAAAAAATAGAAATGGCTCTGTACATGGAATTAGTTCAAAAGTACATTATCGAGAGCTTCGTCCCTACGTGATTTTCGCGTTCGGACCAAAAGATCTAAATTTCGCGCATTCTTTGTCTGATAGGTGGCAAAGTTAGTACTGGACGTTCCATGGAATAATGTTGTTGAAAAAGTTTGATTTATAATATTATGCTGCTGCATAAGGTATGTCCGATTTTGATTTTCGAAGTCAAATTATCACAACTTCTTCAAAATTAGCTTTTTTCCATAGTCTTAGTTTCTATGTGTTAAGCAATTCTTTGACTATCAGAAAGATACTAGAACTTGCGAAAAACCCTGTTAGAGAAGAAGCAAAATTTCAACAACTTTACAGCGTTTTTATTCATATGCAGCAGCAGCCTAGAGTATGGATGATCTGCAGCACTAGGGAACAAAAACAGTACTGAAGCTATTATATTTATTCCGATCCCCTCAGGCAAATGGTGGGAATTTTTCGTAAACTTGTCTGTATACTTTCAAGTGCATTAGCTGTTCTTAGCTACTTCACTCGCACTTTATAGTAAAGTTCACAGAACTGCTGAGCCTGAGCCTTACCCTCCCGCCTTACCCTCGCCCGTTGATTCTTCTAGAAATTCAAGAGAAAAAAGGCTGTAAAAGGGAGTAGAGCAATGAAAAAAAAAGAGAGGAAATAGAGCTAAGCATTCAGAAAGTAAGCTCAAAAAAGTTCCTCCAAAAAGCAAGAACGATTCGGCAGAGAGAATCACATATAGGCTGGCGCAGAAGGTAAATATCCGGGTGTAGGTTGAAAATGAGAGTCCACGCCTGAATCCCTATTATTATTGATGATGCATGGCTATAATGGAGGCAGTACAATTGCGATGACGAGTGGTCCGCACTGGAATCCAGAAAAACCACTGAAGTGGACAATGCGTGAGTTACACACACACGCATACGAGCACAGCTCTCTGACATTTACTCGCTCGTAAACACATGCCAGCAGCCCCCCACCGAGCAATCGTCACTCGTTTTCTGGCACAGCTGTTCAAAGTTTTAAACTTAAAATGTCATGTCAATTGACATAGGGTAGAATTCCTAGGCAGGTTTGATTTATCGAAGTGTTTTGTGAAGGTTTATGCGTTGAAAAAATCAAAAGAAAATTCTATTTCTCAAAAAAAAACTCCTACTTGCTAAATTCGTATCGCACTTCAATAAGGATATAAAGAAAGAAAAAAAATCAAACCTAGAGTGGGCGGAGTCTGGATGTTATCCAGCCAATCGCAAGAAAGACGAAATAAACGCGCCAGAAAAATTGATATATTGATTTTCCAACGGGACACTGTAGCGACCAAATTTATGTAAGCTACATATTACAGCTAAAGAGACTTCTTTATATAAAAAAGGACTACTTCTGCGAAGTAAGAGGGCGTGGCTATGGGCGGAGTCAAATTTCCATGACCCCCCTTCAATTCGTTTTAGCTAGTGCTTGTGCAAAATGTAAATCATTTTCTTTCATTGAGAGACGAGCATAAATCCTTGCCCATAAAGTGCACAGATTTGCTGATTTTTCCAAACCGAAAATTTTAGCAAACAATAAACAGGATACGCAGTGAAAAAATGAGGAAATAAATGTAAAAATAAAGGAGATACGGACTCACTGATTCTTCCCACAACTGAAGACGCTGGCGATGTCCGAATGATCTGTGGTATGTCGCCAAGATGGGTGCGCTGAAAAAATCGATATATTGATTTTTTGGGTGGGTAGTGTACTAACCATAAGTATGTTACATATTTCAAATTGACAGCTTTTTTGAAATATTAGTCTATAAACCCTTCAAAACTCCAAAAAACTAATAAACTAATGCCTGAACATAATTTCCAAAGAACAATCAACTGATCCTTTTCCCAAAGCATTGCCAAGAAGGTAATCGAGGTATTTAGATGGAAGAGCTGCAGAATTCTAATGCACAATTACTTACGTCATCGACCTCCACTCCAGTATATCGCAAAAAAACCGGCGAAATGGATTTGTTAGAGAAATCTAGACGATAGGAGACGCTATTTGTTTGCATGTATAAAAAGAAATGAGGTTCCGCTTTGGAAGAACGCCTAAGCCTGTCCTAATTAGCTACATACTGAATCCTCAAATTAGCAAGCACAGGGGAAGCTGTAGTCTGAGGAAAAACGGACCTCTACGAGCGGTTGGCGAGTTTTCATTGAGGTGATGGCTTAGGGCATGATTAGTGAGCTTAAGATAAGAACGTATGTCCCAGTTTAATCAGTAATATCAAGTTTTCAGAGACCAAATCTGATAGGAGACGATTTCAAGCATATGATTTTCCCCCACAAAAGCTTTCATTCGCCTCATTTCTACATTTACTACTGTTAAGTTTTTGTTCCTTTCCAACCAAAATCGACCGGGTGAAATTTCAGAAAGAATTCCAAGATATCTTCATTGTTTGTACACCAATTTTGGGCCGTAGCTCAACAACTAATTAGTTCGAATTACAAAAAATTTTGCAGCTCAACAATTAATTAATTCAAATTACCAAGATTTTCCTCAGGACCAAACTGGGAGCTTGATTTTTGACTCATTCATGTTTCTGACCTAAAGCTAACTTTTTGAAAAACGGAGACAAAAGTTCTGGAATCCTGAAAAAATTGCTTAAATTCGTTTAAAAATCTCTTCTAGCAAAAGCGACGTTTCTTACTTTGAAATTTCGTAGCATAAGTTGGAGGACACATTTCCAATCATTGAGAATCAAAAAATTTAGGGTAAAATTTCTGAAGCGTAGATATTCTATTGAAAAGTGTCGATGTACACCTCCAATAAAATATCTGAAAAAAAAAACTATTGTCGATGTACATCTCCAATAAAATATTTGAAAAACTATAAGCTCGTTTTCCCATTTTCCCAAATCAGCGCAGTTTTTCCACGAAAGAGATGTAAGGGTTACAAGTTTTGATTTAATTACGTGGTGATATGTCATGTCAAGGATGGCTCGTTGATAGTCGAAAAAGGATCAATATATTTTTAAGCTTTGAATTTCGTTCAAGACTAACTGCAAACATACCCCTGGAGATATTGACTCCTCAAACGAGAGGCTGTCCCACGAATTCACTGATCGGCTTTCACTTTCCAACATAAGCCCTGAAATAAAATCTTTAACACTGTAAAACGAAAACGGAATACAAGATATACGGCTAGAAAGAAAGTCGGCTATTGTGAGCGATATGAAAAACCTTAGAGCATCATGTTCGATTGTATTAATCTTTTCGAGAGCAAACATCTCTTGTATATTATACAAGTACATTGAGAGAGGCACAGACTCAAACGAATAATTTATGGTTGAATAATATCGCTGATGAGAGCAGCCTACGAGGACTACTATAATTTTTTTCCCATACTACTGCATATCGTGTAGGGACCACTAGTCCGCAAAGGCGGAGGATAACAACGGGTTCGTTCCTTTAACCAGGCATTGTATTATAGGTTGATCCTTTATTTTCAATCCGTTTCTTTACTTTCAAGTTCCTGGCCCTGATCTCAGGACGTCGAAAAAGTATGAAGGCTCCAGAAGATCATGTTTAATCCACTGACGACGCGTACATAATTTTGCGTAGCGGCGCTGTGGGATGACGCGATTTTGCACAACACTTTGCTTGTGAGAATTTGTAGTTATTTACAAAATGTAAGATTGTTTTGTAAACAACTATGAACACGTTCTTGAACGACGGAGCCTATAGTTCCCAAGAGTGCAAAAAATTAGGAAAAATTATCATACGTGGAAAAAATACTAGGCCTACAAATAATATGACTTTTCCAGAGGTGTGGGTCACCGGTGGTCCACATCGTCGTCACTGGGTTAAAGTTACTTTGCAAGAGTGGACGAGTCTTCCCATCATGCGCAACAGGTAATCTTGTTGTACGCAACATCGAAACGGTTAATTACGCGTGTTACTGTGTACTGTGCCTGCCATTTCAGAATGCGTCAAAAGAAAATCGCTGAGTGGGCGGGGTTGGACCGATAGAGGCGTGACCGTCAGTGGATGACGGTAGGTCTTGACAATGTCCTCAGCGACGCGAAACTAATAAAAAATGAAAAATAAGGACAGCAAATTTTTTATAGATAGGTGGAAATTCGGGTTGCTAAGCAATGCCAAGTAATGAACGACGAGAGCGTACAAAAACCAGATTTGTGACAGATTTTTAGATGTTGAAGAAAAAGGAACGAAAAAGAGAGGAAGGGGAAGACTATCGTGGAACGATGGTGCTTGAAGCTGGCAACGAATAGATATCAATAATGAGGATGTGAGCTCTTACATCTTTCTAATCGTAAGAGTTTTTCCTAATGTGTAATAAATTGAAAATCAGGCACAATCATCATTCTGTAAAAAGTCGCTCATCTAAATGTAAGGATAGTGTTTCATGATGTAGAAAGTACAAAGGCTAATAACAGCACTTAATCTCTAGGGATACGAATGTACATGACTTAGGACAAACATAAACTTAGCGTGAGAGAGTAAGAAATTAACAACTGCACTGTCAATTCATTCACGGTGTTTCAACATATCAGGTGAAGCATGAAATTGCTGTGTTCTATGGCAGAAGAAGGTGGTTTTTGCGAGAAATTGATCGAAGCTAACTTTACGCTGTGATAGCAAAAAGTTTCGTAAAATTGAGCTTTAAATAATGCAAAATTTTGAGGTGAAAATTACCGTGAAATTTACGACTGGAAAGTGTTTGATGTCATTTATAAACGCATTGAAGAACAGCGATTCAATGCCAAATCAAATTACCTAAGGTTTTCATACAGATTATCGACGAACCTTGAGAATACCATTGCCCAAGCAGCTGATATGCTCAAATCGTCCAACAGTGCTATTTTCAAGCGCACCAATCAGCGTCCACGAGTACTACGCTGATTGGTCCGCTTGTACGGTATGGGCAGAAGTTGAAGCTGCTTTGATCGATCACAACCGTACAAACTGCCGATTTGTTAAATCCTCCTTATCATTTTCTACTATTAAGTCGTAAGGAACGTTTCCGGGCACTTGAGAAAATTTTTTGATTTCTTTTTTCCCCTTTTTCTTTTTCTCCTTCTTTGACTGCAGATCACAATCAGAAGCGGTTTTGAAAAGTTTAAGATCCCCGCTATTGAACAGTATAAAAAACTTGGTGCCAAAATCCAACCGAGCGTCTAAAATATGCGCCTGAAAATGAATTTTCCAAAAGTGCCCGGGAGCTTTCTTTACAACCTATTATAAGAAAAGCAGGACTCAAATTCAAAATAGAAGGTCCTCTGAAGCGTGCCAGTTGCAAAACGAGCTTTAAGAATAGTCATTAAGAGGATTGGAAGCTCCGCCCCAATCACGCCCTTTTTTGATTTTCCTTGCATCCCCCTAAATTGCAACTTATGCTTAGTAACTGACTAGTTGGCATACCCGGCTCCGCCCGGGCCTGTCATTATTATATTCGTAATCAGCATGCTCGATTACCCCCTATGCCAACTCCCAGCTCTGTAGCTCAAATTTTGCAAAAAATCGATAAAATCGATATCGATCGATAACGAAAAGTAGCCTATGACACGCTCCCTGCCCCGAAGTATATGTGTGCCAAGTTTGGTCCAAATCGGTTCAGAAATAAAAATTTCTATTCCGCACATACGTACAGACATACAGACAGACATACAGACATTCAGCTTTATATATAAGATTGAAGAAGAATGTGAGCGCGGACAACTGATCCCATTGCTATTGAGTGGTATTAAAACAGTCCGAGTAACCCACTCTGCCCTTTCATATAATACGCCAGTACAAGTTGTAAAAATGTTTGAATTGATAATGAATAGCATTGGTATTTTGTTGATTTCAGCACCAGATTAATGTGCGAAAAAAAATCGAAAACTGATATTATTGGCAAATCTGATGATAAATGCTAAAAGGGTTCCGTTTTCCAGAACATACTACAAGAAGTCGATATTAGCACAGTAATTATTTTCTACGCAAACAAAGTTCTGAACAGGACTTTGATCTTAAAAAAATTATGACCTGACGGGGAAAGAAAAATTGTTGTGAATAGCTGTGAAAATAAACATTTGTGTGAACGTTGACCAAGAAGATGTGATCTTTCTGAACAGCTGACGCTTTGGCATCTCGCCTTTCCCGCTTGAAATAGGGAAAAACCTCTTGTGATACATGTTCTCACGATGCATCACACAGATCTATTTGAAAGAACAGCTGGATCAGAATAGACAAGTAAACACAAAGATTTGGAAGATTTGTGAAATAGCACATATTAGTGAGGCATTTGATTAGCGCAGAATGAGTATTATCAAAATTGGGAATTCGTAATGAATAAAGAAAGCGCAAAATTACAGGTATGAGAATTGTCAGTAAATTATGAGAATTGCAGGTATGAGAATTGTCAGTAAATTATGAGAATTTTTGCTATGAGAATTGTCAGTAAATTTAGTCTCACCTTTAGGCAATCTTTTTCAAATACACTTCATCTCAAAAAGTCAGAAATTCACGCCATTTTTAAGTTTCCATCTTTGCAAAGAGTGAATTGGGTAAGTTCTTGGCAAACCCATTTTTCAGAAATTTCTATTTTTGTGACCTGTATCCTATTCGACCAACACTTTCGTAGCAAAACAAGCAATCAGCACATGTCTCAAAAGTTTGGTACGTCCTAGTTATGCAAGTGCAAGTTAAGCAAAATATTCACAAGTGTGACGAATAACATCGCTGCGAAGTAGGAGGGCCACACCCATTTGGATAGCCCCGCCCACTGGATGGCCTCACCCGCTTATATAGATCTGCTCGTGCAGGAAATCGTTCGGGATTACCTAGAGTACACTTCAGAAACGAGGGCCAATGGCAAAACTGCGCTCAGTTCTTTGGATTCTTTTCTAGATGGTAATAAATTGCTTCATATTTTTTTGCATTTTTACATCTCTGAAGATGGCCAAATGTTCGTGCAGGTTCTATTTTAAAATTTAAAGGCTCTGTAAATCATAAACACAGTCAAAATGTTATGTTAAAGGCCCCTTTGACCTCGTCCAGAGGTTCCAACAAGCATTAGAGACTTGTGTAAGCTAGAATTTGATTGTCTAAACAAAAAGTTCATTCCTTTTCGTGAAGATCAGCTTTTCGTAGTAATCACGTACAATTACAGATCTACAGACTTTATGCGCCATTATTAATGTCAGTCGGCTTTCAAGAAAGCTAAGAACGATGATTGATAACACAATAAAATGTTCAAAGAGACAGAAAATTGGATAATAGTTCTATCAAGCAACGACTGTTCTCATCACATTGTAAAAAATCGAAGTGTTGAGTCTATGAGTTACAGAGCATTTTCAGTAGAGGTGAGGGAAAGTGCACCACACATAACCTTTAGAATTGGACGAAGAAGGTTCTCACGCACTCAAACTCATGAACTCATTGACTTTCTATTGTTTATCTCAGAAATGGGAAATCATTTAAATGATGATGACTTCTACCGCTTGTGTTATATGGACCTACTGCAACGCGATGAGAAAGTCTATTCGAAAAACTATTTTAATTTATACAATATATCAACAATCAGAAGCAAGAAGTATTGGAGAGATGGACTAATTCGACCCTTTCGAAGCTGCTGGCACTGCTGTATAAGCAAGTCGTACAAGTGAGGCACAAGCAAAAATTCTTGCCATTGAAGGAATAAAAGGTAAAGGTTTGGGTGTTCTTAGTAACGAGTTGTCATGAGTTGTGTTATTCCACTACTTACTGATAACAGATAAAACCTCATTCCCAACACTTTAACTTAAACTCATGCGCAAGTAATTTGAATTCCTGAAGATTGCAAATATCAAATAATTTCACAATATTTTTTAAATTTCCCTTTAAACTGACGAACTGAGTTGCACTGATTTAAGAATGTTATAGCTGAGACCGTAACATTTTATATTGTAGTCATCAATTCAAAATTTTTTTTCAATTTTTCGCTCATTTCATCAGATCTGAACACCTGAAGTCTTTTCTTGGACGCAGAAATCGACAACTACAATGAAATATTTCTCTAAAAACAGATGTTTTCGAAGTAAAAATCAGTTCAGTTGGAAAAATTAATCGTAACTTGAACTTTTATGTCAAAGAGATCACT